TAGAGGATAATTCTATTTTAATTTTATTTTACATATATACATATATTTATTTCATTGTTTACATCCATATTTTTATATTAGCATCATGTAATTTTAATTTTTAGTTTAGGTTATTTATAACTTGGAGATATTAGCATGTACTTGCTATCTTGTAATTCAAGTATAAATAAAGTTATTGTAATTGTTGTAATTGTTGTATGTGTCTGCTAAGGATATTTGCATGCACTCACAAAGGTCATGCATGATTTTATACAACATTAATTATACATTTTAATCACTACCCCACTTCTAATTTGCTTAAAGCTTCAGCCATCATTCCCTGATATCGTGCTAGCTTGACATGTTAAGTGTATTATCTTTAGGTTTTCCTGCAGATAATATATTTATCATGTCAAGTTGACTCAAGGTCACAACAGAGATTGAAATATGTAGATGACGACTAGTTTTGGAACTACTTTAGCTTGAACTAGCTTGGAGATTGAAATATGTTTGCTTTTTTTTTTAAGCAGAATTATAGTTTTTTATAGTTTTAATATTTTAGATTCTCTTTATTAGTTATTATTTTAGGTTTTGTTTGTTATATATTATTATTTTAATGAGGTCCTTTTTGAAAATCATAATTATGAAAAAGTTATCTCAATAAAGATTATTATTATTAAATCTTTAGTTTATTCTTAGCTTACATAATGTCATAAACCAATTATTGAATTCAATTTTTTGAATGATATTCTAAATGAAGACTTCGGCTCTTTTATCCACCTCAGCCTATGGCTTCGGCAGATAACACAGCCTTGGTGTTGATAAATAAGGATATAGCACTCAACCTTATCCAATACTTTTTTATTGTCTTCATGCTGTAAGCAGAAAAAACAATTAAACTGCATTGGTTTTAATTTCACCAATATCATTCATATGTCTGAAAGTCATGCAGTGATCAAAAAYTTCCCCAAAGGAAAAATTAGTTTTGACTTTGGAATCACTGGTAAACCACAAAAACAAGCAGGGAGAGATAATATATATTGTTTGTTAATTATCTTGAATTTCATGGAACTTTTGAAGCATAAAACTATATTACAGCTGAGATATTTGAATCACAAAAATGCCTAGGGGTGACCTTTGTTGCAAGCAGGGGTTATTTTTGTTTAACCCCCTAGGGATGAGCAGCAGCCTTAAACCAATTTAAACAAAGGGTAGAAAAATACCTCTTCTAAGAAGATACTTGCTTGAGGGGTTTGACATAGGGTAGTGATGACTGGCAGGCAAGGGCAGATAAAAGCAAACATTTTTTTCTTTCAATAAGAAAGTTTTTTTCACAATCTGTTGTGTTAATATGTGATTATGATTTTTACTGCGTCTCTGGTGACTTTCATTGTTGAAACTGATATAACAGTATTTATATAATTTATTGCTATACTCCAGTTATAAGTCCAGTTCTTTAATTGCTCAGTGTTGGCCTCAATAGCATGTGATATAATTTTGAGAATTCTTTTCGTATTCAAGCAGTGAGTGCCAAAAACTATTTTCTTGAAGAAAGGCTGATGTACAAGGCTAAAATCTTGTTATTCAGAAAGTTTAACTTGTTTGGAAGTGGAGATGACTGATGAAAGTGGAAATTTCAAAGTGTTAACCCAAAGCAAAAATTTGAATCGAAAATGAGGTTTAGGCCTTCATTTGCTTATTTCCCATATATTTTCTATAAAAAAGCCTGACAAAGCAACGTTCTAACACAAATGCAACAAAACATTGTACAATTGAAAATACCGCTTCAAAAAGGCATTTTATCATAGTACATCAGTTTCTAACTGTTTAAAAAAGATTTTGAGTGTTAACCCAAAACGAAAATTGGGATCAAAACTCATATGAAAGTGTAGGTTTTGGCACTTTTTGCCATTATTGCTCATTATCGAAAAAAAATTCCTCTTAATACGAAAATAACAAACAACACTTCATAAACTGAGGATTTTACTACTAAACATGTTTTSGCAAAAACGTTTACTATCTTCAGAAGTGCAAAGAGAGTTGAAAAATCTTGTTATTAAAACAGACCATGGTAATTATTATTAATATGGTTCATACGATTCAATTGATTCAGGATTGCAAAAATCCCACTTTTCCCTACAGACAGTAAAAATGAATGTTTTGGGATTCCTGTGGACGCACGCCATTGAATGAGATTTGCCTGTGAAATGTGCACATTTTCAGGCACAACATCAAAAGTATTCAATAGGAAGCTGAAGCATAATACTGACATCACCAGCAAAAAAGAATGGGTATTGTTAACTGTGATATTGCATGCCCCTTACATCAGGTGCATTTCACCGACAAACTCACACCAAACTCAACTGAGAAGCATAGCACTATCAGAGGCTAATCCAGGAAATTCCAAAGGGGTGAGGGTTGAAGCAATCTTGACAAATTAAAATAGTGTGATAGATATAATGACCTAAGGGAAGAACAAAGACTATGTTCTTTATTATTAAGAATCCCTCAAAAAGGGGGACTGGCCAGCCTGGGGCACTTGAACCCTATCCTTAATCTGCTCTGGTTTATAGTTCTAAGACTTTTTAATTATTGTTATTTTTTTATATAGTAACAAATCCTATTGAAGTGGTCAAGATACGGATGCAGCTTGATAATGAATTGGGATCCAAGCACCAAAGTAAGAACATATTCCATGATAGATACTATAAAGGACTAATACGGACTGGCCTGACACGGCTTTATAAAGAAGAAGGCATCAGAGGATTATATAGAGGGTAAGTCTTCTGTTAAACTATTCTATAAAACGTCATYGTTATTGAACCCATGGTGTTGAATGGGTTGCATTACATAAAGTCTTTCACAGCTGTGAGTCCAACGGATTGGGTTGCTAGTTGGAGCCCTGTGGTCACCACATGTGAACAGAGTTTGTTTGATGTGTTGTTCTGTCCCTTGCCACCAGGGTTTTTCTCCAGGTTCTCCAGTTTTCCTCCCTCCATAAAAATCAACATGTGACTTAAGTTATGTGTATAAAATATTCAAATGTTGTGTTAGTGCATGTGAGTGGACTCGTAGATATTAGCAATCTCTGCTACTCTCAAATCTGAGTATAAATAAAAAGCTTATTATTATTATCATTATCATTATCATTATCATTAACCCTTCCACCATCTATGGGTTAATCTATGTCTGGTCATGGTACTAGCTTAATGTTTTCCATTGTCATTTGGAAAATCTAAAATATCTGGTAATAAAGGTGTTTCTTCTTTCTGCCTTTTCAAAGATCTAAAAATGACTAAAGTATGACTGACTTCATGGAAGGTGGAGATACCCTTTTATGAGAATTACATTTTTATTTTGCCTAGGAATAAGAAAAAAAAATTCACTTCAAAACAGGGAAGGGAGAGGAAGACTGCAATCCCCCCTTCCCCCCATTTTAAAAACTGTTCCGCCATCCCTGGACTTAGCCCTCTTATTTTAACAATTCACTAGGATATCACCAGCTTTGTTACGTCAAGCCTGCTATAGCTCAACCCGGCTTGGTGCATATGAGCCTATCAAAGAAATCATTGGAGCATCAGATCCTCACTCTACCCCCCTGTGGAAAAAGATTTCTGCTGGTATGATATCAGGAATGATAGGCAGCTTTATTGCCACCCCAACAGATTTGGTTAAAATAAGGTTTCAGGCTGTGAAACGTGGCGATGTTTCTCCTTACAAGAACATGTTTCATGCATTTTACCAAATAACCAAGAAAGAAGGCTTTTTTGGGTTGTGGACTGGAGTAAAGCCGACTGTCCAAAGAGCAATGGTCTTAAGTGGAACACAGATTCCTGCATACGACCACACCAAACACTTTTTCCTCAATGCAGAATTGCTGAGTGAAGGTATTCTCCTGCATGGAGTTTCTGCCTTTGTTGCTGGGTTTGTAGCTACAAGTATTGCTTCTCCTTTTGATATTGTTAGAACACGTTACATGAACCAACCCAAGAGTAGTACAGGCAAACCATTGATTTACAGTGGGACATTGGATTGTATTTTTAAGACAGTCAGACATGAAGGACTCCTGGCCCTTTACAAGGGATTCTTTCCTAACTGGACAAGAACAGGTCTGGATACTGTCATAATATTCTTGGTTTATGAACAGCTTAGGAAATTTGCTGGAATAAATCCTATGTGAACCAAACTAACTCTATATAGATATATCCTATTGGTAATTTTAGGATGAAAACGTTTTTTCAGGCCAAATGAATTTGAATTTTATCTTTGATGATTTATAAAAACAAATGTTTCATTCTTTTACTTGTACACACTCGAGATGACTTGCACTAACAGGTCACATGACCCTACCTCCCTTAAAATGAGCAGCTGTGTCAAAATGAACATTAGGAATGAAAAGAGCACCTCGATATTAGTAGGGTGGTGGAGTTTTAGCTCATAACAAACGAAAGAGGAGAAATGGAATGAATATGAAATCAAATATTTTATACGGATTTGTATGGGAAAATATGCTGAAATGGCAAGCTTTGCCATCCAGCACATCTTCCTATACAAATCCTTATAAATATTTCATTTTATATTCAATACCACTTATCCTATAGTCAACTTTATGAGCTGAATCTTYACCCTCTTACTAATGTTGAGCTGCTCTTTTCATTTCTAAACTTCGTTTTCACACAACTGCTCGTTTTTAGGGAGGTAGGGTCCCGTGTCCTGTTAGTACAAGTCGTCTATTGCAACATCATTGTCAAGTTGGTTCAAAACATCTAACATAGAAGCTAAGATCAAAAGGTATTTTTGGAAATGATGTAATTGTCCTCTGATATGTCAATTTGAGACCCGGGGTGTGACTCTGGGGTAAAAGTATTGGTATGCTTGTCGTATGCGATATGGGATTTTWAATTTTTTTTGAGATTTATAATTTTTGCATTTCTTGGTATCTTTTAGGGTATCTCTTAGGGGTTAAAAATCGTCCATTGACGCCACTTTTTAAAAGACGTTTGGTATCTTTTAAGAGCATTTTTGAGAATTTCCGACGAGCATACCTGAAACCTTTACCCTGGAGTCCCCCCTGGTTTTAATGTTTTTCAACTGGACAATAATTTTCTAACTGAGTGTATGCAAACTATGAATTTTTGACGAGCATACCTTAAACTTTTACCCCGTAATTCCCCCCCCCCCCTCCCCCAACACTGCTTTTGATGTTTTTCGACTCCACAATAATTTTGTAATTGAGTGTATGCAAACTATGAATTAATTACTTGAATGAATTAAGTAATCTAATTTCCTCAATTAAAGAAGCACTTGGATGAAAACGCCCCAATTTTTGAAAGTCCAAATAATTGAAGTATATGAGGATAATATGACACAATTATGATTATGTAAACCAGATTAGTGAACATTTTAGCCTGGGAGCCACTTGCAGTTGAGATATTTTGGTTCAAAAGCAGAAAGAACAATAGGGTTGAGTAAATGACGTCATTCACTCCAAATTTAGATGCTGAATAAAACTGATAATTTTTATCCGCTACATTTTACTGTTAAGAAAGTATGTTGCTTGGCTACTATTGGGGCCATATAGATACGTTTAACTAAGTTTAAAGTCATTTCCAATTTTTATTCATTTTCATCCAAGTGCCCCTTTAACGAGACAGCTTTCTTTGGATACTCGTTTTGTAGGCCCCAGTTTTTAGACCCCTTGCCGCACTTTGGAATGCAGCTCAATCTGGGGGACAAATCAATAGGTTCCAATTCTCAGGAGATTGGAATTCTTTTATTTTGTCCCCCAGAACAAGCTGTTTTGACGTCACATGCAAAGGGTCTATAAGAGAGAATATAGTTATGTGGTGGCAATTATTCTCATCTAGATAATTTGCTTGAGGGACATAGCAACAGAAGCCATGAAAATTCCCGGGAGCCATCAACCCGGCGACTTAAGTATTACCGTTCACTTTTGCTTGGACGGTTTCAACATCAGAAACACCTCCCGCCCACACTTGGGTTATTTCTTAACTTAGGGGCCGTTCACACTAGCCATTTAGATCCATCTGAAATCCTTTCTACGCATGAATTTAGTGAGCGCGCGCTCATCGTGATGACGTCATTCCAATGTTTTGATAAGCAAAATATCATGAAAACGTCTTTAATCTCTCATAGCTCTAAAACAAAGTCGGGCATCCCCCTTTTTTATTTTGTTTTTCGAAACTACTTTAAAATACCCAGCTTTAGGGTGAAAATTTAAAAAATCTGACAATGGGATCAAATCGAAATTACATATTTTGTGCATAATTGGAATACAATTTCACGTAACGCGAAGGCTTCAAGTCCACACTTTATTTATTTATTTTAACAATATTTATACAGGGATGTCTAATTTAGAAGAACTAGTTTAAAGAGAGCCCTGTAGCTCAATAACATTTTATATTTCTACTTTTTAACACAAATATAATTTTGAATGCTAACTAAATATTCGGGTTTTTTTTTTTCTAGAGTTATTTAAAAAATGGGAACGTTTAATTTATATTTTCAGTAAAATATGGCTTATATTTGATAGCTTTCCATGTTTACGTTGTTCGCGCGTTTTTACCGTAAAATAGGTGAAATTCCACACATTCTGACGAGGAAGTCGGGGACCCCCATTTTATATTTGCTTATTTTATATCTAGTATGTTCTTTAATCATGCAACATTTTTTTAAATTGATCGGATTTTTTTCCCATGAACGTCCTTAATAGACATCTATCATGCATATATAGACATAATAAACACATGCTATGGAAACATGATTTTGGGATTTTGACTTTTTGATTGATTTAAAAAAGGACCATACTTCCAGACATCAAGTGCTGAACCGTCGTATGGCAGCGCGAAGCATTTACGGCTACGCCGGAGATTTCGGCCCCGACACCGCTATCCGAA